ACAACGGGCAGTCGGGTGGGGTATCCTTGCGGATCCTATTAAGGTAGGAATTTAGTGGTATGTGTCGTGTTCGCAGGCGAAATATCGTGACTTGTTCTCTTCTACTCAGGGAATTTATTGCATCTTTAGAGTTGGGGGCTGTCATGTGTGCAAATACAGTTCTTCCAGTTTTGCCCATTGCCCATCCATTCAGCCACTGTTCCCTGGTGTTGCATTTGAAGATGTTCTTGGCTGTCTGTTGTGATACTGGGTTGTGTGGTTGTGTTTGTAATGCTCCCTTCTTGGCAAGGGTGTCTGCTCTGTCGTTTCCTGGGATGTTGCTGTGGCCAGGTATCCACTGTAGTGTCAGGTCGACGGCATAGGTCTGTATGAACGTATTGATTGTTTGAGCCACGGATAGGCAGGCTGGGCTTTCGAAATTCATGTTTTCCAAGGCTTGGAGTACTGACTTTCCGTCTGTGAAGTTTATAGTGTTCTTGATTTTGTTTGGATGTATTATGAAAATGTTGGTCAGGTGGAGGATTGCTGCTTCAATGGCGATTGCCTCATCCTACTACTCCTGTTCCTCCTCGTTTTCCTCATGATCCCCGTCATTATGATCAGCCAGCATCACTACCGCAGTCCCACAACTCCCCACCCCACTCACCCCACTCCCACCCCCGTACTCACGTTCCGTTTTGCCGTAGAGAATAAGTAGGTCAAACCCGCGGCTCGTTTTAATGGTGCGGTCATCACTGACAAACTGAACGGTCAATTGAGGGCCACTGGTCATGAATGACATCGCCGGCGGCGAAGACGGAAGGCTAAACTTTACTTCTCTCTGGCTGGGATATAATGAAATAAATATTGATAATATTAACACCAATAAAGCATTAATATCAACAGAAACAGTAATAACAATAACAACGACAATGACTACTACTACTACTACTACTACTACTACTACTACTACTACTACTACTACTACTATTATTTCACCTGCCCATAAAGACCACCTGTATAAGCCACCCATCCCCTGACCAGATGGATGGTTGTCGTAGACAATTTCAACTACAGATTTTAGTGTATTTACCTATCAGAAACTTTTATCCAATCACGGTCGTCTTCATCTAGATGCACTTCGTTGAAGACGACCGCCCATATGCCAGTAGGCACCGCCCACTCCCACGTGATGTTGCAGCTGGGCGGGTAGGGCTTGGGGAACTCATCTGATTGGATTCGGGCATCTGCGGCCAGCCCGCTACGTGTGTATCTCGCACCACTGGCTGAGGAAGACACTAACAAATGACGCATGGATGAGGAGGAGTAAGATGATGATGATGATGATGATGATGATGATGATGATGATGATGATGATGATGAGGAGGAGGAGGAGGAGGAGGAGGAGGGGAGGAGGGAGAAGATAAACGTTTCTTGACTCGGATTATTGAGCGCTTTCGATCAAATAAACAAAAGGGGGAATTTGGTTGGCGTGGGGATGGGGATACAAACACAAGGTCCTATATCAAACTTGTGACGAAATAAGTGACTTAAATACAGGCAAACCCGTTCATGACGACCACCAATTGTCGAGGAGAAAAGTGATCATTTTGAAGAGGTGATCCTCTTGGAAAGTGTCATTAAAAAATAGATTTAAAAAACGTAAGGGGGGAGCGGAAAGTGGTCATTTGTACAGGTGGTTGTCTTAGACAGGTGTTTGTTAGAGCAGACTCGAATATAAACTCAATTAACAAATTGGGTGTTTGGCGGGTGATCTGATCTGGTTTGCTCCTTCTTTCCTGTCAGACACCTCCTCCTTTCTTGTGTTTGTTACTCTTTTGTAACACCCCCCAGTCTGCAACAATTTTATGACCATATTGTGTTGAAGGTGCCGTTAACAAACTTACCTTTGGCAATAAAGAGTGCTCCGACAACCAGCCAAGAAGCCCTTCGCGCTCCATACATCGTTCTGGATAGGGGTGGAAGTTAGCACAAGGCTGATCCTGGAGGCTGAATAAGAGGGCTGTATATAATAAATGGTACATATGCAGTGAAAGACCTTGTCAGTTTGATAGTATTTGAGCGCGTGAAATCCGCAGCTTGCACTGATATGCTTCCGCGGAAGCTGAGAATGTTTCTGGGTGTTCTCAGAAGGTCTGCTGGTGTAATGATAGTTGTAAAGCATGCTCTTGAGCATGGATATGCGCTATATAAAAGCAATTATTATTATTATTACATGATTTGTAACAAAAATAATAGGCCTAATAATAATATTAAAAATGATAATAATAATAAAAATAATATAATAATAATAATAATAGTAACAATAATAAAATGATAGGCCTAATAATAATAATAAAATAATAATGATAATAATAATAATAATAATAATAATAATAATAATAATAATAATAATAATAATAATAATAATAATAGTAGTAGTAATAATAATAAAAATAATAATAACAATGATGATGATACTAAAAATATTAATGATAATAATAATAATAATAATGATAATATTAATGATAATAATAATGATAATGATAATAATAATGATAATAAATAATAATGATATTGTAATGATGACACTACTATTATATTACAATCAAATAATAATAATAATAATGATAATAATAGTAATAATAATAATAATAATAATAATAATAACAATGATAATAATAATAACAACAATAATAATAATAATAATAATAATAATAATAATAATAATAATAATAATAATAATAATAATAATAATAATAATAATAATTATATATAGCGCTTAGCCAACCCCGATTAAAGTACTCAGGCTCTGAGCGCTTTACAATACAACAATAACATAATAATTATAATCAGCATACTATTGTTTTCTGACCCAAAAAAATCTCTCTCTAAATATGATCCCCTTTAATATAAATAGAGTTACACTGAGGGGGGGGGGGACCAAGAGGAGGAGGAGGAGGAGGAGGAGGAGGAGGAGGAGGAGGAGGAGGAGGAGGAGGAGGGGGTGGTGTAAGTGGAGGAGGCGGGGTATGATTATGATTAATGCGATGATGAGTATGACGACGACGGCAAGCAGGAGGAGGAAGAGAAGGGGTGGGAGAAAAGACAAATAGCAAGGAAGCGTAAAATCTCATCGACACAATTATTGAGAACATTTAGGAGGCAGGCTTGCGATCCTACTTTGTAAGCGCCAACTCAGGTTGAGAGGGATACAACACCCCATCAGGAAGACCGAGATACTCTATAAAATGTTCTCCACATTTGGGAATCGAACACAGTCCTCCTTAATTTGACAACAAATAATCTAACTACTATAGCACAATTAGCAGACGCCAGTCATGTCTGGTTTGTGAACTTGATCTAAGTCGTTACCTGGCCCTTTCCGCACCTTGTACATTTTAGTGCATCGTAGGGAGGGGTCAGGTTACGGACATAGCGTAAATGAGCTTAGAATTTGCTCACAATAAAACTCTAGTGCAACTCTTCATTAATTGTTTTGAAATAGTTGTCGCTTTTGTAGAACATTTTTCTTTGACGTCTCAAGGAAGACAATCCTTGATCATCCCCAGGACGCAGCGAAAAGTTGATAGCGTGCAACACCGTTTTGTATTTTGTCAAGTATATGTTGACAGTGACAATAGCGAAGACAACGAACGACAATGACATTGGCAATAACAATGACAATGACAATCTTAATTCATCCCGTAGGGAGAAATAATTTGTCTTGGTCGTTTACAATGGCACTGGTATTACACTCTGCTTTCTGGCATGCACACATTCCTATACTTGAAGTGGCCACCTGCTGCTGAAAATTATAGAATCCATATCCCTTGACTAAATAAACAGCAACGATGATATATATATATATATGTGAGGCAGCGTGGTGGAATCAGGCTCTCGTCAAAATAATGAATTAAAAGATATTGGCATTTTTCTGCCCGTTAGGCAATTTTTATAAGATTTTTGTTTTTAAGCTCAACAGCTTTTATGTCCATTTAAAAACACATTTCTGTGTAAATTATCCCGACAAACGTTGATTAAAGGTACAAAAAATGTTAATTTTCAGTTTTCAGGGACTCTCACGCATTGAAAGATACCAAGCTTTGGCGGTCATTTCCTCCCTTATTTTTCCTCTGAAATCAGGTTACCCTACTTACTTCAATTACAAATATTTTGACTTCTATTAAAGATAGATGGGTACTTTCCCCCCCGAAAGATAGACAAATGAACATGCCTTAAGATGACACAAATAACTCCACAAGCTCAAAAATTGACGAGTGCCTGATTCCACCACGCTCCTCACACACACACACACACACACACATATTATATATATATATATATATATATATATATATATATATATATATATATATATATATATATATATATATATATATATATGTATATATGTGTGTGTGTGTGTGTGTGTGTGTGTGTGTGTGTGTGTGTGTGTGTGTGTGTGTGTGTGTGTGTGTGTGTGTGTCTCAGACAGCAAAGAATACATTCAAGTAATTGATTGTTATGATAAACAGCATGGTAACTATGGTAACCAAGCAACCATCCACCATTTTCGCCTATTTCATCAACATTCAAAAGCTACTTTTTCTCCTAGTTTTCGTTGGCTTTCATTTTAGCGAGTACAAACTACAACACACGTTGAAAGAAAAAAAATGAAAACCCAATCTTTAATATTACAGTTATGAAAACAGTTATGAACTCTGGAAACAAGTACTATGGACAAGTAGCAAACAAACTCGAAATCCCTCCACTCCAGCCCGAACAGAATGACATTTATTTTTCTTGATACCTTTACAAAAGACTCCATTTCAGTTAAGATTACCTAAGGGTGTACATAGTATAAACAAAACGAAAATGAAGCCGTACGAAGCTATTTAGAAGAAGAAAAAGGGAGAGATGCAATTCGGAAAATTAAATATCTGATTAAAAAACAGCAACCCAAAACCCGTGTAGAAACATACAGGGGCTGTCCCACGGAAAACCGGAAAAAGTCCGTATAAGCAAAAATCTTTGTCATATTATGATAAAAATGTAACATATCATACCTCAACATGTGCTTTACTTCTCAATGTAATCACCATCCCGCTGGACTCATTTTTACCTAGGCTGGATCTGGGAGAAGATACCCTCCCTGAAGAATTTTTCGTCAAGGGAATTCAACCAATCTCTCACGGCTTCCACGAGGTCTTCGTCGTCGGTGAATCGCTGTCTAGAAATATGGCGTTTCATTGGTTCAAAAAGCTGATAATTTGACGGGGCCAAGTCAGGACTGTGAGGGGGGTGAGGTAGAACTTCCCAGCCGAACCTTTGGATCCAGTCTTTCGTAGCTTTTGCGGTGTGAGGCGTTGCGTTGTCATGTTGCAAAATGACCCCACTGGTCTTTTTCGGCTCTTTTAAGACCCATCGAGCAGATACATTTCAAACGTCAGCTCATCAAATACTATCCTATGGACAGTCGACTTAAAATGTTTAGCGACTCGCAAATTTTGCGCCTGTCTGTTGAATGAGTTCGTTAACGCAACTTTTGTTGTTCTCAGTCTTGTAGAAAAACAAGGTCCTGGGTAAACTTTGTCATTGATATCTGTGTGCCTGGCTTTGAACTTACTACATCACTCATTTACCCTTGATTTTGCCATTACTTTCTCCCCATAAACTGACTTTATTTCAGTGTGTATTTCTAGAGGTTAGAGACCTTTTGCGGCCAGAAACCGAAAGACAGACCTCACTTCTACCCTTGACCAATTTTCCAAGTGGGTAGCCTTCTTTGGAGAACTGCTGTATTCGTTTGGTTCGCGCGATGCTCATGGTGCTCAATCGAGAAATTCCTAAATGATTGTTTTACAAGTGTGCGTTTACAGAATGTGAAAATATTGAATGGTTTTCAAATTACAGCCAAATTCCGGTTTTCCGTGGGACAGCCCTCGTATTAAAAACATGACCCAAGATTGCATAATATTTAAAAAACATTCTTAGATGATTTTTAAACATAATTGATCGAATCGGGCACTTAAAAAGTTGAGAGACGTTGATGTACGCTTCAAAAATGGAGAAAAATATTGCATAATGAAACTGTGTAAACTTGGTAAATTCTCAGCAGCAGATGCCGATAGAGACATATG